TATACATTACAACTGACATATACCCAAATGAATCAGAACCTAATCTAATCAAATCAGAATCGATCCTCAAAAAGACAGCTTGCAAATTGGATTCAAATCAGTAAAACGATACCCAACCCTACCCACCCACCCTTCAACCCAAAATTTCAAATGGGACATCATAAGGTCAATTTCCACATGAAACAACCACCACAAAACTTTTTGTGACGAGATCTATAATTTTGAATTGAACTGAAATTTATTTGGCAAGTTTATAAACTGTACACAATAAAAAGTATCCCATACACTTTAAAAAAACTGTTGAGGATAAAAACACAATTTTCCATTGTGGTCTTCGCTGTTACATTCGCCTTTTTTAGCCACCTAGATATGGTTCAGACCCCTTTTCGAAGCCACTTGATTTTTTTGTCCACTTTGTCCTCTAAAACAGGCAAACGTAACAGCACACCTCTCCTATAAGCTGCACAATGGATGTGTTATTTGATGACCGTTTAATTCTTAGGGTGAGACGTTTGAGGAATAGTACAGGCGATGAAAAACTTAATGCAATGTATGTCAGGTACACAGTTTTAATGGTGCCTAAAGGAAACATATACAGAGTTAACAAGCAACTGAAGCATGTCGGAGTGAAAAGCTTCTTGAATTTCCATGAAACCTCACACACACAGTAAGGTGACTCTTTGCAGAAACAACCCCAGGAGACTTTAAGAAGTCGGTGACCAGGATCAGTCCAGTGACCAACAACACTGAAGCTATAGCCGGTATATGACCCTCCCCCGCTCAACACACACACACATACACACACACACTGCAGGACGGGTTAAAGAAACTCCTCCTGAGAGCCTTGTTCTCCCTCTCTCTCTGTCTCAGGTCTTTCTCTCCTTTCCTCTCTTCAATGGCCCTTTGTGTAGGGCCCCTGGGACATCAACATGACAATGTGCCCCAGCGGTGGGATCCTGTGTTTGTTAAGTGCCCTCACCCTCAAGAGACAGAGGCTACGGCCAACTGAGAGGCGAGGTTAGCCAGAGAGGAGAGGCCATCTTTGATCAAACGAGCAAAAAAGGGGGAAGAAAGAGCGCAGCGACTTTTCATTAACTCGAGTAGCATGAAGGCCATTCATGTTGGAAGAGCGGGAAAAAGCAGCGGCATTATACTGCTCAACTAATCATTTAAAGATGAGGTTAATATGTTTGAGAATTGTAAAATGGCTCGATTGAAAGCGAGTGATCTGGCCTAAGGTAGCGGTGGTGTCTGTCTTTTGTGTGACGTTACTCCACTGGAAGGAAATGCTGTCGTTCTTAGTGTAGCAGCTGGGAAGTAGCTAAATAATTTAGTTTGATGCTCATTGATCATGTCAGACATATATAATACTGTTGACTTCCTATAGAAAAGAATGAGAATTGTTTGTGTTTAGGAATTGAACATGAAAAACCACTAAAATATCCTTCCTCAAATGAAATGAAATCTCTAACATCTACCAACTATACTGCTGCTTTCCAGAAAGCGAAAATGTTATTTTTATTAGCTTTTCTGAACTACATATCTGAAACGTTCACTTCAATAATAACTTATCCCGAATTCCACAGTTCCATCTCAAATTCAGCCTAAAATTACAGTGTTCTCCCACTTGTCCTGGATTACTCATCTGAGCAACTTTGTGTATATTATTCTGTATATTATATAAGTCATTTAGTTTGACACATATAATACTATTTACATTCTCTGGAAAAACAACAGAGAACAGTTTGTTTGTGTTTAGGAAATTAACATGAAAAACCACTAAAATGTCCTTCCTCAAGTAAAAACAAATCCCTAGCATAACTTCTCCTGAAATACTCAGTTTCATCTCAAAGCTGACAGTTTTCTCCCACTCGTCCTGGATTATTCATCTAAGCAACTTTGTAAATTATTCTGTTACAATGACCATGGACACCGAACTAACTCAGGTAAAACTTTTTCTTATTCTCACGGAACAAATTCTCTTCAACTTCAACAACACACCTTACTGAACGATGAACAGGCTCAAGAAGAGTTTGCTGAGGTGATGCTGGTAACACTGCGTGTACAGATTTTTCAAATACTATCGCCTCATCTTGCTGGTGGTATCTGGCAATAAATTATGGGCTCAAAGATGTGACCTATGACCTGGAGCCAGTAAACATAAATACAGCCACTGTGTCTTAAGACCTAGTTTGACCAACTGGCAGTTAACCAAGTGGTTATCAGTCTTACTTTTCAAATTAGACTCATCTACCTTTTTATGTATCTGACTAATGACCAGTCTTGAAGAAAAAATTAGATGACTAACTATTAAGTCTAGTCTAAACAGTTCATACAACCAGCACCTAGAAACTGAGTTTGAACCATAAAACCACTGCACCCTTAGTGGTTAGTGCATAAATGTTTAAGGGATAGTTCACACAAACCTGTATGACTTTCTTTCTTATGTGGAACACAAAAGAAGACATAGGGCTGGGCAGTATGACTATATATATTGTGGTGACAATATAAAGTGTCAGTTTATATAGAGAAAAATTAATTGTTTGTCTATATATAATAGCAGTGAATAGTGACCTGCTTCAAACTTTAAAGAAAAAGATGCATAGGTATCACAGGTCACTCATGTCGTGATCTGAGGGCATATGATGTGGTTTGGTGAAAAACAAACTGAAATTTAAATTATTATTTTGCAAATGTTCGGACTATGGCCATTGGTTAAAAAGGCTTTAGTTTCCACAGAATAAAGTAAATCATACACAGACATAACATACTGAGACCTACACAGAACTGTACAATTTGTGTGAAAATTGAGTGACAATGACTGATCCAAAATTCCAACCCTTATTTTCTTGGCATGCAAAAACAAAAGAGAAAGTCATCTTTTCTGCTCTTATCTAGATCCGCTTTCCCAGTTCTTGAAACGGAGTCACTATTGCTTTGCTCATGTGTGTTTTAAAATAGCCCTGGCCGAATATTTTTAGCCTGTAGTTTATCAGAATAAGCAACTGCCTGTCACAATGCTCCCCTGGAGTTCGAATGGGCTTGGACCTAATCTTAGAATGACCGTTCTGTCAGCAAATGGGCCTTACAAAAATAGAATAAGTTATGAATTGGTCTTCATATGGAGCTAGGATAAGCTTATCTCTCGAGGAAGCCAACAAAATGTGCTAAAACAGGACCAGCAGAATGGTACTCAACCCTCTACATTGCGAGTAAATAACTCGCATATGCGACTAAATCTTACTCTGGGCGACTAAATCATATCTACCATTGGCTAATAAATTCTTGGATTTTACACGCCAGTATGTGTGTGTGAGAGGCGTTCAACACAGATTTTCACTCGATAAACACGCTGACTGAGCGCTTGAGAGTTTCGCTCTCCGTCAAGCGATCTGTACTATTTGGATGCGCTCAATGGATCATGTCATGTACTCAATGGATGCGCAGTATGTAGCACGCAGCGCACCTGTATTTGACGTAGTTTACGGACTAGTGTGAAGGCGCACGACTCGCCGTTTTTTTTACTTTTGAAATTGTAAAAATGCAGAAAGTTTTCTTTGAGGGGTAGGGGTGGGTTTAGGTTAAGAAGTGTATAACTATCTGTATATAAAAACAATCGAAGTCTACGTAATGTCCCCATTTAGATAGCTAAGTAAACGCGTGTGTGTGTGTGTGTGTGTGTGTGTGTAAAATAGTATATCCGTCTGGCGAGTAAACAAAAAAATTTACTAGCCAATGGCGATTATATTGCCAAGGTGTGCGTAGAGGGTTGGGTACACAGAAAGATTTTGTCGAAAACAAGTGGGCAATAAACTGATTATTATTTTGTGGAATGCATAGACTGTTGCCTAACCAGATTGTTGACACTAAGCTGTTAGGTATATGTTCTCAGTTGCACAGACTGCACTGCACAATGAAATTCTTACGTTCCAGTAAATCACCAGTTAGCAGGCCCAAACAGAATCTGCACCTGAAGAATTCCTCAAAAAGCTCTGCATTCCTGTCATTCACAACACATTGCACACCACGTGTCTTTTTATTAGGCCCTACATTCCGGCTAATTTTATTATTTTAGCTATCAATAAGAGTGTGGAACTCTCAGCTCCATTTGACACATTTTATAAAGTTTTTATCCACTCAGCAACCTCAAAAATCAGTGGAGACGATGCAAAAAGGTCTGTAGATTTCGTCTGGACCTGCCCATTAGATAATAACTTGTTAACCAGCTTGTATTTCTTTCAAACCTCTGACATTTGGAAAAAGTGGCTATCGGAATAGCATAATACTCTTACATTTGCGAAAATGAGCAGTATACTGCTTGGAATAGCCTACTGTATCCACACTGCAATGTGCTTGACTTAACCAATCAACTCAGCTTTTATGGATGAACTGGTAGTATTATCTACTTTGAGTTTTATCCACTGATCTATATATAATTATATCATTCTCTATTATAGATCAGTGGTTTTATCTCTTTCTTAGCTTATTTGATCAGACTGTCAAATGTAAAAAGACATTTTACATAAAATTACATTTATTTCTAGAAAGGTAACTGAAATGTCACTCATTAAATATGTAATGTGATGACAAAAAGTAGCATATAGCTACTCTTTTTTTAGTGTGGACTACTGTTTCACTTACTAGCCTACTTAAAAAAAAAAAAAAATACAGTATTCCACTCATTGGCTTAAAGAAATAATGTTGCAAACAGTATGTGGACAGAATATAATGTGGACAGTGACCTTTTTTCTTCATGACCACCTGGATGACCTTTGGATTTGCCAAAATATGCAGTTGTATCCACAATAACAACTGTATACCGCTTATAATGCATTGTGTAGTACTAAAATACTGTGAGGCATGCAGTTGTTTGGGGGGGGGGGGGCTTCTGCTTTGTAGTCATCGACGTGGTTTTGTTTGAAGATACCTCAGCAAGTTCTGCCTTCATGCTTCCGCAGACTCCAGTCTCCTCGTGTTGCTCACTCACTCGGCATCAGCCCGGACATTTCCGAAAAGAGCCGAACCCGTTGCATTCTGGGAAAAGGAAGACTGGAGGCGGTCGCCATATTGTTTGATTCCGCAGATTCACTGGAGTAGAAAACAGCAACATTTCTGATTAAACGAGCTTATATTAAACAATTACACAGGTAGCCGTCACATAATATTATATGAGGTCGCTGCAGACCGTGCTGCATTCATAAGACCCTCTTTAGCGGTTTCAGTCGGATTTATTCGTGCAGAATATGGGTCGCTCCCGGAGTCGCAGCACGTCCCGTTCCAAACACTCAAAACACAGCTGCAAACGGAGCCGCTCCAGATCCAAATCCAGCAAGAAAAGGAGCATGTCAAAGGAACTGAAGAGGAGCAGAAGGTCCCGCTCGAGGTCAGACAGCAGGAGGGACAGAGGTGGCCCACCCCCCGACCGAACCGACATGTTCGGCCGGACACTGAGCAAGAGAAACACCGACGAGAAACAGAAGAGAGAAGAGGAGGAGAGGAGAGCAGAAATAGAGAGACAGAGGAAGATGTAAGACATCTATATGGCATAGTGTGTGTGTGTGTGTGTGAGTGTGTGAGTGAGTGAACATTTTAAGAAGTGCCAGCACTGTATGGAGATGCCTTACTCACTTATGTCTCTAAGACGTGTCACTTAGTTGGACAACACCATCACTTCAGTTACATGCTTCAAGTACCAACTTTTTGTTGTTTAATATTGATAAGAACCTAATAACGTAGCTAGTGTGCAAAAAGGTACATGTTTCATGTTACCAATCTGTATTCAGTGAGCTTTCATCACTCTATGGACTCTCATAGACAGCTGTCACACATCAGGTCATCTCATCTTTGAGATCTGCTGGCCATGTTAGATGATACGTCTTTGTATCTGTCATAGATTGTTGACATCTCTCTTTTGTGATTGGGGACCACCGGTATAATGTTAAGAGGTTTGTGGGAGAGAAGGAAAGGGGGTTTCTAGTGAAAGAACAGGAAGAGAAGTGCTGGAGCCCCAGGCTTAAGCTTCACCCCGTGTACATTGTGACCGCATTCAGGGTGTTTTAAAACTCAAAGAGAGGCCCTGGATCAAGTATCATGACACTGAAATCAAATCAAAAGATGGCTGCTGTTGTTTGATTTTTGTTTTGGCTCTGGGCAGTGTTATGGTCACTTGGCTCAGTATTGTGTCTGTGTTTTGTGTTCCTTCTTAAGGCCAGGTGTGACAGCTTGCTCTCCTCTAATGGTTTAGTTATGCTTAAAATGTAAATAAAGTTGAAACATGCTTTTGTAATCATGACCCCCCTTTGAGTGGCATAATTTCCTATGGGTTTGTGATGTCAAAATGTGCCGTGCACAACGTGTTTTGTTTTAGAATTGTGCAGATCACAGGTGGAGCCTGCCAGTAACATCCGCCTCTTCTTCAGGGATCAGCAATGCATTTTGTGCAATGCAAAATGTAATATTTGAATCTCTGTGACAAATGGTTTGCAAAATTAAGCAAGTTATGCAAACTAAATTCCACAAAATTGTTCATTTGTTAGCTTTTTATACACATCAGCAGTTAAAGGTTATCAAACCAGCTAACATAAATTGAGCCTTTAGTGAGATTGCATTTATGATTTGATAGCATCAGCAATATTTGGTTGAAAATGATAAATGAATAGCCTAATCAGTATGTTTTGCTGTGTGCAATATTTCTATTAAAAAGTATGATTATACTTTTTATATACTGATTGTAAAAAAAATTATTAAAAAAGTTAAAATATATGTTTTAAATGTGTAAATATGTTTTCCAAAACACTAACAAATATCTAAATACAATTGCAAAATGTAAATCTTCCCATTAACCTTCTCTGATTAAATAATTAACAATAAATAAAATAGTATTACATTTAAAGTAAATATTAAATGAAATATTGTTTTAACTATTATTTTTACTTTAGTTATTTTAAATGAGAAAATGTAAAGATATAATTTTTTAATATATATAAGGAAAAAGTATATTTTAGAATTCATCAATTTTCATTCAAAATTTTTAAATCGGGTGGCCAGTGAAAATCATGTCAGAGCAAGGAAATACTGGCCTGATTGTGCAAACATATTAATTCCTTACTGTCAGCCCTGATTTTGATGAGTTGTTCTTCACTCTTGTTTTTTTTTAATCATTATGTATAATTTAATATGGAATGCCAATCCTGCCATAATTAGAAATAAATAAAGAAATGTACAAATAAATGTAAAAAAGCAAATATAAATAAATATATAAATAAACATACAAAGAAAAATAAAAAAGCAAAAATAAATAATTATTTATAATTTTATTTCCTTATTTATGTTTTTTTTTTTTTTTTTTTAACATTTTTTGTTTTTTCTTTTTTTTTTTTTTCAACATTTATTGATTTTTACATTTATTTATTTTCACATTTATTTATTTCTACATTTCTTTGTCCGTAGGGTAATGAGGAGGGCGTGTTTTACCTCAGGAATAGCAATCGAGCCAGAGTAGGCGAGGGCTAAGCTTTGAGGCCACAGTGACACTTTGTGGTGCCCAAACGAAGTACAAGAGGTGTAAGCCTACATGATGCGCCTGTTGATAGTGTGGGATGACTGATTTAGATGGGCAATATGGCCAAAATCTTAATTAAATTTCAAGTCGGGGGTTGTTTAATCTGGGAAGCGTGGAATCTGTGATCGCGTGCATTTGCTGAAGCTCCCGAAAGCGTGCTTTCTTATGTGCGCTGTTTTTTAGGTTTCACTTTCAACGCATACAACGCATGTTTCAAAGATTCGGGATAGAAGGAGGCATCAGTTA